TGTTCATACGGAGAGCATGTTCTTGCGTATTGAATCAACTGAGAGATATATAGCACGTATACGGATTATGAAGGTATATTGTTGCATACGTAATGGAAGTTGACAAATGAAGAGTTAAAGCCATTGCGTTTATCTTGGTTGTTAAAAGCTTGTTTGTTAGATTGCCATTTACGTCTTTTTCAAGTTAAATATCAAAATATGAAAGAGAGTGTCAGATTCTGTGGTATCTTTTATTTCAATCTCACCGAGATATTAAAGAATTAATTTTTTTATCTGAATGTTTCTTCATTATTTAGTATTGATGTGTGTCTGCATCATTTTTGGTATAATATTTTCCAATTTCTTAGTGCAGCCAGAGGTCTCAAAAAATTTGGAATAAAAGCACAGAACATTGCTTCTGTATTTAGTTTAAAAGACGATTAATATTTTTAAAAAAAATTATATTTAAATATATAAGAATACAAAATGAAAATCATTCTTCATAAAAGTGCTATATACGCCGTATGAAGAAAAAGTTTCTACAGCGCCGTGACAAGCCATGTTGAAAACATAATTGATGTCTATATATGTTTAAAATAACTTTTAAAATAAACAAAAAAAACGCCTTTTGATCGCAGTCTAACTTTAAGAACGCATTGAATTCCTTTACTTTTTGTGTTAATCGCAAAATAAGCTTCGATTTATTACTACAAGTATTTTGAGGTCCATGTAATGTCAAATATAAATGAAATACTAACTGTTAACGCAAATCGTAGACTGCGTTCCACAGAGACCTCACGGAGATGTCGCGGAGTCCCTTCGCACTGCGTTTCTGCAATCGCGTTTTTTCTATGCTTCCAGTGATCTTTTTCGTCTTGTGAATTTTTCGACTGCGATTACACGGCGATAGCACATGTTGAATAAACCAATGGGATCATTGCGCTCCCATATATAATTTTTAAAAGAACATATTTGATCACAATGCGCTTTACAACGCACGTTGTTACGCACTTTGTCAATAATTTTTTCAAATTGCAAGAGCAAAGGGATCATATTTAATCACTTTGAAAAAATAATTCCAACGTATTTGTTGCACCATATTAACGCACTTTGAAAAAATGGAAGAGAAAACATTATTGCAAATCTTGTTCTGATAACTTTCGATGAAATTTTGTACGTGAAACTTTTCAGTGTGTTTATTTTTTTTTTGACATTCTTTCCCTAAATTCAAAGAAAATCTAACAACACATCTGAACCGAAGATAAAAAAAATTTAATCATTATAACGAGTTAATAATTTAGTTATAAATTATTTAAATCATTTTTTATAACGAGTTAATTCTTGGCATGATTATAACGTCTTTTCATCTCGTTAACTTGAATATTTAAACAAAAATGTTTTACATTTATTACGAATATAATTATCTCGTTATAACGATTTATCCGGATGCTCGTTATAACGAGTTTTTCTCTTTGGAACGAAATTTTTAAATGTTATTTTGTCTTGTTTACCTGGTGATAACGATTAATTATCTCGTTATAACGAGTTACATATCTCGTTATTACGATTTAATTAACTCGTTATAACGAAAGCGTCTCGTTATAACAAGTTAGTTATCTCCTATCAATGATTATAGTTATAGCGAGATAAAACGCATTGTGAAACGTATTAATGAACGCAGCCAGCGCAGTGAAATTTAGTAGAAATATAGGAATTAAAAATGGCTGTAAATGCCATTGATGTTTAATAATTATCAGCGAACTTAACTTTAAAATTTATAAAAAGATCTCCGTTTTATTTGCAGTAGAACGTTTAAATAATATTAATCTTGAACTATCTTCGCTGTCAATAATCACAATTTGATATTATGAAAATTTTACAGAAACATTGTGACACATTTATACGTGAACGTCTCCAAGGACACATTTTAAAAAAATATACAAATGAACTTGTGTGAACGCAGCTTGGTGTGACAATTAAGAATACAAAATGAAAATCATTCTTCATAAAAGTGCTATATACATGTTTTGGAAAAAGTTTCATAATCAATGACTAAGTGAGCCATGTTAATACATGATAATGATGTCTATATATGTTTAAAATAACATATATTATATACACTTGCAGTGTGATCTTTTATTTTGAGATAACTGTTTTGAAATAGGGGGATATGAATTCCTTTACTTTTTGTGTTAATCTGCGAAATAACTTCATTTACAACATACAAGTATTTTGAGTTCCATGTAATGTCAAATATAAATGAAATACTAACTGTTAAGAAAATCAAATCATATCGTTTGTACATAAACGGATCTACAATCACAGGCGTACACAACCCATGCAAAAGCAATTAAAAACTAGTTTGCTGTTTTTCAATAAAAGCTTTTTCGAATTACACACTAGTTATAAACTTTAGATAAGCCAATGGGATTTTATATGCATATGCATATATAACTTTTAAATATATCATATTTGATAAAGGGCAGAGATGTTATAACGCACTTTGAAAAATTAACTTTGAATAATTTTAATTAAATTGCGTTATAACGAGATAAAATTTATAACTTTGAAAAAATAAGTTGTTATAACGAGATAGTGCTCGTTATAACGAGATATTAACGCACTTTGAAAAATAACTCGTTATAACGAGAACAACATTATAACAGATAATCTTGTTATAACGATAACTCTTATAACGATGATGAGGTAATTATCTCGTTATAAGTGAGCGATTTTGATTTTTCCACTCTTTGAAAATTCTTTCCCTCTTGAATGTTTTACTGTACTTATTTTTTTTCCAATCTGCATGCATTTTATGTAAACTAAAATTTATTTACTGAAATTTATTATACAAGTTATGCAAATACGTACATATATTTGGGTGTAGCATAGGCATCGGTACCAGGAAGGGGGGAGGGGGGGGCTTAGGTACATATATGTTTTGCAAAGATTAGCATTATAAAGGCATTGAAAATTTGGGCTTACCTTAGGGGGTCCTCTTTCAATTTGCTACCGACGGCTATGTACAATACATGTATAAGAAAAAAAGTTGGGCTGAGAGACCTTCAACTCGTCTTCTCTTTGTTCTCAATGAGGTTAAATGAGTACATGTAAATTAAGAGTTTTTCAAAAGATATGACTGTTACGAACTGATTTTCTTAATTACTAAAATATAAGTATAGAATTTTTTGTTTTATACATATTTTTTTTTCAAACTGCGTTAAATGTCCCCATGGTAAAAATGTTTATGTACATTCTTAACGCACTTTGAAAAATTTTTGATTTGGGACACATTCAACGCACTTTGAAAAAAATTTTCAAATGCGTTTAATGTGTCCCAAATTTAATGCACTTTGAAAAAAAAATTTCAAAGTGCGTTGATTTTGTCCCAATTTTAACACACTTTGAAAAAAATTTTCAAAGTGCATAATTTTTTCAAAGTGAGTTGCCACACAGCATACTGTTTACATGTTTTGAAACATTACAGGTTGTCAAAAATATATATATATATATATATATATATATATATAAAAGAAATAATTAATAAAAATTAAATTGTGAGATGTTCACATTCTTTTCCTGTTTATTGGAGAGTTTAAAAAACATAAATATTGACTCTAAAATAATAAATGGGGGATTTTCGTACTAGAGTTTGTTTAAATTTTCTAACACTTTTGCATTACCAGTTCTTAAAAATTTTAAGTCAATGTATCGTCACAAAAACGAAAAAAGGACGTATTTCTGCCTATCCGTTGACAAATTATTATAAAGATTAAATTTTTAAAACTTCATAAAGAACATATGCACAACCGTCTTCATTATTTTCTTTTCATAAATAAAACCAGGATGTTTTTTTCAAAACCTATCGATTCTTTACAAATCATACCAAAGGACTAATTCTATTTTGAAATTATTGATAGTTTTCATATGATTGGCATAAAATTTAAAAAACAACATGAACGTTATGTATACAATCACAAAGTTTATCTCCGTTTTTTTTTTTTCGTATAAATATAAAAATAACTGATCAACATTCTTTTTTAAATTAGTAAAATCTATGACTTTCGAAAAAGAAATAGAATTTTAATGGAAGAAAACTGCCATTTTATGAGTGTACAATAATCACAAATTTTTGATCGGTAGAGGATGCTCACTCCTCCATGGCACCTAATTCCATCTCTGATGTTTAAGAGGTTCGTGTATGCATGCTCTGTTTCAAAATTTGTATTGTTTAGAGGATTCTTAAGCTTAAATAGTGTTCATTGTCTCCATATAATTCATTATACTAACTCCAGTAATTTTAAAAGTTTCTATCCGCAATGACCAACTACCTATTTAACAAAGAACTAGATTGTACTTGAAGCAATTCGAATATAAATTTGAGAAAAAAAGTGTAGTTATTTAAATGTATGAGCAAAAGCGCCAGGGAAGTATATTGCTACCCTTTTTAAAAAGTTGATAAGATTCTCTGTGTGCAGATATTACAAGAATTTCTTTTTAAAAGTCTTCTAACTTTTTATTGCAAGATCCAACCTCCTTCAGAAAAGCAGCGAACCACTTTGGATTGTGTGAGGGTGGGGGTTTGTATGTCAGTGTGTTCTGTTTCATTATCGTTTTCAAAATCATTAATCAGTTAAGTTAATGTTGCTTCAAAAGTATTCCAGTAGAGCTACTTTAAAAAATGTCCTTTTTACCCTCCGAATTATTGATGTATAAATTAATATATTCACTGTTATACAGATAATCTAGCCAAATGGCTGTCTATCAAATCTTCTAAATTTTCTTCTAGTTTAACATTGTTAAGGATGTTTCTGAACTGAAATAAAATACAATGGTAAACTATTTTATGCTCAGCATCTAAAATCTCACTTCCAAAAAGAATCACCAGCAGGAAACATCAAGACGAAATATATTATTTTTAGTAAATAGGTACACGATCTATAATACACAACATGTATTATAATAAAGTTACTTCTGGTAGGCATATCAATATCACAGCAGTTGATCTTTTCTGATTCCAGATGAAGCATATTCTTGATGCCAGTTTTTAGAACCTCTCTTCAATCTGGTAAGAGTATTTAAATTCTAAATGTTCAATATTTTGGTCTTACTTAGTTAAATTTCGTATTGTATTATGTTATCGTTTATGTAGAAATCATTTTCATTTTTAAGCTAGGTAATAAAATTTCTAGTATTTTAAAATAAATACAATTTCAGTACATCTTCGAGTCTAAATTTTATTGTAATGATGTAAAATTCCTAAACTAAAGATGTTCGACATATTTTCTCGACAATAACGTACCTGGATAAGTTTTTTAAGGAAACCATTAAAAGAAAGATATCTACTCTGTATTTTTTCTGCAATGATAAGGCAAGCTTTCTTTTTCTTTTTTAAAATTATCAGAGAATTGAATCATATAATACGGGATACTATACATGCATTATGGCATGCTATTTACTTTTTTCTCAAAATATACCACATTCCCCTTTCTCTCTTTTTCTCCCTTACCTTATCTCACAAAATATTCAGAATATCAATTAGGAAGCGAAAATGAATGTAAAATATCTCCAACAGAACAAGAAGTATCAAAAGAAAAGCTGGAGATGCACAATAAAAAGACCATAATGCATTTATTGTTTGCCCTAGACTGATTAAGTTAGTCATATAGACGATCACAAATTACACATGTATTTTGGCTTGGTATGAAGCACATTCCTATGAGGCCCCAGTAGAAGAAAGACGTGTGGCTCAAATTCACTTAATTAGACATATATCTGACAGCAGATGACATAGTTTTGTAAATGACTTTCGTCAAAATTCTTCCGGTCCCGTGCTTTGCATGGGCATTTTATTGGCAATCATTTTGACAAACTACAGTGAAATCACCGGATGGGTCGTAGTGAGTTCAAATATTATTCCTGTGTTTTATGTGAGATTGTTTCATGTCGATCTGAGAAAGGTGCAGGTTTGTTACAAAACAAATTCCTCCTTATGTATGATAAGACGTGAAAACTATATTCGTGGCATAGTACCACTTTCCAATTTTTTTTCTCAATAATGTACGACTTATTTAACGAGGTTGCTTATTGATATTAAAAATCTTAAAAGTTTTTTTGTCAAGTATACTTTTAGTTTCTACACACATTGTTTAATTAAAAATCAAATTTAAAAAAAATGGGGGGTGGGGGCTCAAAATGCTTATTTTTTCGCTGCAATACATTTAATATGACCTTTTTTGCACTGAAATTTGTGTCTAAATAAAAAATTACACCTTCAATATTTTTATCCAAATAAAGAACAAAATAAATTATAAGTCTATTTTAAAAAAAGACACTTTAAAATTGTGACTAAAAAAGTTTCAAATTTCTTTGCATATTCAATTATTTTACCTTTCTGCACTCACAAAACGTGATTTTTTTTGGATTGAAAATTAAATAAGCAAGAAAATTATTTTTAAGTCTTAAACTTTTCCTGAGTCAAAGTTGTCTTAAATATTCAGAAAAGAACATCAAAAGTGGGGGTATATGATGTAAATTTTTAGATCTTATCAAAAAGGTGTCATTTTATGTTAGATTTAACTCAATTTTTTTTCTGGCCTTTCAGGATATATTTACTATATTTGTCGTAATTCGTTGAAAGAATTCATAAGAAATGATTTAATAGATATTTCAGAACCAGCATAACACATTTTACTACAAAAACAGTTTTGTGTGCAACCAGCATAGAAAAATAGGAATCTAAAATTAACAGTACTATATATAGTTCAAAAGGGAAAATCTGATCATTTTCTTTTAAAAAAAACCTTCCGCCACAAAAATATAGTTCCTGGTTAAATTCTACTTGAATGGAATTTAATCGTATTTCTTTCATTGAATATAGTTCAATTTGCATTGTAGAATCCAGATTTAATGTTAGAGTTTAAAAATGATGGAGAATTTCAGAAGTAAAGGTCCAGACCAAAATCTGCCCAAAAGCTCAGGATCGAACCACCTTAAGAGAAATGTTTTCTCCTTTTTTGTAGATAAAATATAAGTAAGCATAAAAGTATGTAGTCCTCTTTGGTACAAAAGTTATAAATCACTTTCTTAACCCTTTCACGTTCGTATCGGTCAATACTGACCGATAAGCCCTCTTTTTTCTCACATGTTGCTGAAAAAAATTAATAGTTTCGCTTAGAATTAACGGATTTCAAAAAATCAAGTATCATTTTAATCGTGAGACTCTGCAGAATTTAATGATGTGCAAAACAATTATGAAATGTAAATATTTTATGTCATAATTAATGGTTTATTGATATAACTGCGAGAAAAAACTCCGAAATTGTGATTTTTATTGATGTGCGTTTTCTACAACTTTCCTCGTTGTTGCAAAAAACACCATATTAAAAAGGGTTAAAGAGCCGGATAGAAGAGTAATCCGTTTTAATGTACATGTTTATCTATTAGCTATGCTAATTCATTCCAATACCCTATCTCCATTTTCCATTATAGGACATTGCCTTTCTAAATTGAGAAATAAATTTACTGTTACACTTGACCTAGACGATGATGATACTAAACTTCTCACTAAAAGTGAGACCATGGACACTAAGTGCAGACAGTTGCTATCAAGTGTAATGGAAAAGTTTCTTTTGTGTAAATTACAAGTTTTCGACACTTCCCCCCCATTATTTTACGCCATATCTACAACTAATCGATTACTGTTCAACTATATGTATTGGTGCATATGAAAAGATATTGTCATATCTCCATGTTTACATGTAAATAAAGAATCCATGAATATTATTCAGTTGAAGCCAACAGATATGGTTTTCATACTAACCAGCAATCAGATAATCATACATGCTTGTATATCATTTTCATGAAGTTGCTACCTTGGCATCAAATTGTTTTGTAATATACATGTAGCTTACATACAAAGACATCACGTATGCCTGATATGTCTTATAGCTTCTTTTATGTTGTCTGATTATAACCATCATTTACACCATTGAAATTTCTTGAGACCTCAACTTCCTCATACCTCTGAAAACTTCGTCTAACAATTTTTTAATTACTCTCTGTCGCGCTTCGGTCATTTATTAGAATCATTAAAATCCTCTTTTAATGTAAAACGCATCAACAGACAGGCAAAAGGAGTTCTAGATAAATAAAACGTTGACATATTATTACATCATTTCCTGTGAAGCACTTATCACGGGCATCGATCAGGGTCATATTCTGTCACTAATTCAATTTACGACAATCAACAAAAGAAAACTGATTATTTTACGACAAAATTATGGGATATTTTCTGATTATTACAGCATGTTTCCACTGGGACGCGTACTGAAAAGTTCAGAAAGATAACATATTCAGTAATGACGATTATGTAAAAGAGTTTGCGAATATAACAAATGATATTGTCTGCACTAATAGAGTATTGTATGTAATTGGCAACAAAGATGCGAAAGATATCAGTATCTTGTTGACAAGATTTACAATAGGCAATAAATTTATAGTTTTAAGGTGATTTAGTTTTACACAAAAATAACAATGCTACGGAGTTCTAAATATTAATGTCTTTAATGTGATAGACATCATCAATAAAATTTATGTGAAATTTGGCACTCTGATTTATTACATGTACTTTATTTAAGGTAGACATTTTTAGAATTTAATTTGCACAAGAAAAAAAAATCAACTCTGTTTTTTTTTCTCTATGTCTCCACTTTATCGGATTGATGGGCAAAAGTTGTAATAATAATTGGAAAATGACAAATAGGATTTCTTTAAAAAATGACCTTATAAAATCTCCTTTTTGGTTAATTAAGACATATTTTGAAGAGAATCTTGAAAATTATTCTTTACACCAAAATAAAAACAAAAACATATGTTTAGGACATAAATGTACCACGCCAAGCCCATGGTACATTTAATGTAGCTGCAGTTCTGTAGCTCTCCGAAAAAAAAAATATTGATAGACCGGAGAGCTACAGAGCCACCCATTGAAAAAACTGCATATTTATTGCGCACAAAAAAATGCGCTCGGTTCTCGATTTATTTCTCCATGTTTTTAAAGCTGTAGTCTCAAAATATTACTAACCGTGTGTTCCTAACATATTCTTTGACTCTTTCCACAACAAAACATTCCTCATAATTGTTGTTAATACTCCTCCTGGCCCTGATATTGCAATCATCGGACATTTCGCTTATTTATACTGCCATTTTGTTTTCAAAGATAATTCGGTCAAATATGCTTCGTTCAGATGTCAGCTACGAAAGAACTTGATAGAGGAGAGAGGAATTTTTTGAAATCTTCCAGTTTTTGCAATTGAGGTAAGAATTTGGTAGAATTAATCAAGAATCGAGCGCACTTTTTTGTGCGCAATAAATATACAGTTTTTTCAATGGGTGGCACTGTAGCTCTCCAGTCTATCAATAATTTTTTTCGGAGAGCTACAGAACTGCAGCTACATTTAATGTTAATGGAGATCTAACAACCAAGCCTTGTGATGTCTTTAATTTTTCAATCGTGAACTTCCCTGACTGTTGCAGCAATATACCCTCACCACCTGCTTACGGGGTTTATATCTCTCAGCTGATGCTATAGGCGAGAGATGCTCTATGTATTAAAAATTTCTAAAACGAGGTAAGTTATTGACAAACAAGACGCTGAAACAAGAATATCAGCTGTCTAGTTTCAAGTCATCACTTCCTTAATTAGTTATATTTCGGATTTCGTCGGATTTCCCTCTATTTCGATCATGACGTGGAGCACACGGCGGGTGTGACCGGTGGTACGGAATTCTCACTCCTCCATGGTACCTGATCCCACGTTCGAACTTTGCTTGCTCTGTTCCAATTTTGGTATTGTTTGGTAGATTTTTGATCTAAAATACAGTTCGTTACCTCAATTTATTTCATTTCATTATTTAGGTTGCAAATAGCAGACTTGTGCATATTTCATTTTTCAGGAGATGAGAAGTGCATATTTATATCTCCATATATTACATAGTTCTCTCGAAGTTTCCCATTTACTGCTGTTAGTATACTTTTGAGGAATAAAGATTTTGTTATAGATTATTT